ACTGCTAGTTGCAATTGTTGTCGTAGTAGTGCTAGTAATACTAACTAGCAAGTGGCGTACTAGTCGTAGAAATAATCGTGGAAGTTCCCGTACGAGCAGTAGTAGTAGTAGTAGTAGTAGTAGTAGCAGTGATCGTAGTAGTACTCGGAGTCGGATTAGGAGTTGGAGCCGTTGTCGTCGTAGTGGTTCTAGTAGCCGTCGCAGTCGTAGTTGTAGTCGCAGTGGTGGTAATAGTAATAGTTGTAGTAAAAGTAGTAGTAGTAGTAGTAGTAGTAGTAGTAGTAGCCGTAATATTAGTAGCGGTAGGAGTGGTAGTAGTAGTGGTGGTAGTAGTCGTGGTGACAGTAGTAGTAGTAGAAGTAGTCGTAGTAGTAGTAGTAGTAGTAGTAGTAGTAGTAGTAGTAGTAGTAGTAACAGTAGTAGTAGTAGTAGTATTAGAAGAAGTAGTAGTAGTCGTAGTAGTAGTAGTAGAAGAAGAAATAATAATAGTAATCGTACTAGTACTAGTAGTAGTAGTAGTAGTAGTAATAATAATAGTAATAGTAGTAGAAGAGGAAGTAGTGATGGTAGTAGAATCGCAGTAACAATAATACTGGTTCTGGTGGTCGAAGTCGTGGTAGTCGTTGTAGTCGTAGTCGTAGTAGTAGTAGCGGCCATAGAGTAAGAATACGAGTAGTAGACAGCGTAGCAACAAGATTAGGAGTCGTCGTAGTAGAAATATTAATTATAGTAGTCGTAGTAGTAGTGGTAGTAGTAGCAGTAGTAGTAGTAGTAGTAGTAGTAGTAGTAGTAGCAGTAGTAGTAGTAGTAGTAGCAGTAGCAACAGTAGTAGTAGTAGTAGTAGTAGTAGTAGTAGTAGTAGTAGTAGTAGTAGTAGTAGTAGTAGTAGTAGTAGTAGTAGTAGTAGTAGTAGTAGTAGTAGTAGTAGTAGTAGTAGTAGTAGTAGTAGTAGTAGTAGTAGTAGTAGTAGTAGTAGTAGTAGTAGTAGTAGTAGTAGTAGTAGTGGTGGTGGTGGTGGTAGTAGTAGTAGTAGTAATAGTAGTAGTAGTAATAGTAGTACGAGTACTAGCAGTAGTGATAATAGTGTGGTAGTAGTAGTAGTAGTAGTAGTAGTAGTAGTCGTTGTCGCAATAGAAGGAGCAGTGATGACGACGGCAGCGTCGATGAGGACGACGATGGAGGCCTCAGCGGTGGCGGCCGCGGGAAAATGTTTATTGTCAACCATTGTTGGGGTCCCAAGCCATCAATCAGCCCCAGGGATGAATAACCAGCTCGCACTCTCAAAACACATGGGTGTGCTAAAGACCCTTTAATGGGGATCTCAATCTGGCTGTCGGGATATTGATGGAGCTCTGGCCGCTCGTGGCGATCCCAGGTCTTCCCAAAGGCTCCCGATGAGGCGCAGCCGATGCATGGCACCCCTGGGCCCGAACACCCGCAGGAGAACAAACAAAACTTGAAAAACTCGCAAAACGGTCGCCGTGAGGAAGACGTGATTCGCAGAAACGTGTGTTGGACCCCGGAGCTTTCCTCGGGAACTACTTGTCACCCCGAATAGTTACTTGACGGTCACGTGACCTGGAAGACGGCAATTATCAAACTCCTGACATGCCGCGGGAGTATCCCTACCCCGAAAGTCGACAAGCCCAAGGCGATCACAATTTAGGGATGTGCCCTCAGAATCAACGGGAATCCTCAAGCTCGGCACCGAGAGGAGGAGGTACCACTCATAGGGCTAGGGATATGTTTCAGGCTGGTAAGTTCGGCGGTGGACAGACCTCCCTTTAGTAAACCTCCCTTTCGGGAAAACGGCCTAGGACCGAAATCGACGGACCTAGACCCGCAAAAATAACAGCCGCGACGCCCTCTCGCAAACCGAAAACGGCCAATTCACTAATCGACGCGTCAGGGTAGGAGGGTCTATCCACCTCCGATGAAACATTTTTCGACGGCAGGACACCTGTTGGAACAAAAACTGCGATGCTTTAGAATTCCTGCTTCGGGGCTGGGGTTCCTGCCGCTCCTGCTCACTGCGAGGTACCTGGCTTCGGTCCCTGCCGCTCGTGCTCCCGCTGCTGCCTGTGCTGCTTGCCCTTCGCCTTCCCCTCGACTGATCATTTACCCCACTCACATACAGCTCTGAACGTCCATACGGTATGTCTGTATCGTGCCGACTTCCGCGTTGACTTCCGACACCGCGGGGCTTGCTCCACCTCGGAAGATCGGCCGTTTCCGAAACGCCGGAACTTTCAACGTCGACGGATTGACGTTCGCCGGCGGCGTTCAACATTCGAAGCCGGCGGCGGGTTCGCCGCCAGTCAACACGACGCGAACCTGCCAAAACATGGAGGAAACGGGTCCCGAAGAGAACGGGTCCTGGATCAAGAGCGACGCACATATCCGTATCCGCGCCCTCGCGGTCTGCATTCTGGGGCGCGATCCTGCCAATACGCGGTCGCGCGGATAGATCCGCGCGGGGCCTCCGCAAGAAAACGCCACGTGTCCGTGGGATCGCGGCCCAGGGGCCCAGCCCGAGAGGCCGCGGATACGAATCTGTCTTTCGCCCATGGCTGGACCCATGAACCCACCACAGGACCAGCTCTTCATCTTGAGCCGATCTTTGACAGCCCTGGAGCCCGCAGGGAGCCCCTGGAGCCCGCGAGCGGGAAAAACCTTGGGGGGCCGTTCCCCTCAGGACGCCTTTCCCGCCTAGAGGTCTCCCGAACGGGGGGCGAGTAGATGAGGTCGGAGGATCGCGCCGCACTGGGACGCAAAAGGACATACTACAGTCAGGTAATGGACATTGGTAGTGAACTTCTGTGGCGCATGGGCACGAATCGGAGTCGTCATGGGACATGTGTCATGTTTTGAACACCCGCCAGCGACGACGACGACCGACCGACAAGCCAACGGATCGACCGACGGAGACGACGGCCGACGACAAAAATGACGACGACCGACCGACGGATCGACCGACCGAGACAACGACGACGACGACGACGACGACGACGACGACGACGACGACGACGACGACGACGACGACGGCGGCGACGACGACGACGACGACGACCGACGAATACCGACGACGACCGACGGACAAACCGACCGACCGAGGACCTACGACCGACGACGACCGACCGACCGAGTGACCGACCGAGTGACCGACCGACCGATGCATCGACCGAGAGGACGACGACCGACGGCCCGACCGACCGACGATCGACGACTGGACTGACCGACCGACCGAAACGACGACAAACCGACCGACCGACGATCAGACCGACCGACCGACCGACCGAGGACCGAGGACCGAGGACCGAGGACCGAGATCCGAGGACCGACCGAAACGACGATGAGCGACCACGACCGACCGACCGACGACAGGACGGACGGATCGACAGACCGCAGGCGCGCCAGCACGTGCGAACTGCCCCCGTGTGTGCGCGAGGCGCGACTACAATGCTAGGGCCCACGCCCCCCGGGCCCGCCCCCCCAATCCCCCCGACCGACATCCTCTGACCGAAAATGTTTGCCTCTTGGAGTGAATCGATGCTTGATGTTCTCTCTTTTGTTTTAAAAAAGGATCCCTTTCTGGGTGTGAAACAGAGTCGCGGATCCTCTTCCTGTGTTGCGCGGGTCCAGTGTCCCGTGTGTGCCAAAAAACCTATGGGTACACTTATTTTGATGGAGTATGTTTAACTGTTAATTCATCCCATGCACCCACAGGAAAGTGGATCCACGGGGCACTGCAATTGAGGCAACATGGTATCCACGGAGCTATCGCTCTGCAGATTTAATGCGGTGATTCTTCTTTGGTGAGAGTGTTTCCAGGGTACAGGGACGGGAATGAGGGAGGAGGCAAGGGAAGGGTAGAGGAGGAGAGAGGGGGACGGAGGTGGGAGGGGGATGCAGGGGGAGGAAGAAGGGAAGAGGAGGAGGATGAGGAGGAGAAGGAAGAGGAGGAAGGAGGGAGGTGGAGGAAGGACGCAGGAGGGGGGAGAAGGCGGGAGGAAGGAGGATAGGAGGACGAGCAGGGAGAGGAAAAAGAGATGGAGGAGGAGGAGGAGGAGGAGGAGGAGGAGGAGGAGGAGGAGGAGGCAGGACGGGGAGGACGAAGACAAGCAGAGTGTCAAGGTCGGAAGCTCGAGCGCAACAGCGAGCCCAGCCACCTCCCCTAACCCCTCCCAAAACGTGTGGGTGCTCGAGCGATAGAGCAGGCCTGGCCATTACACAAGCTCCTCCCGTACGGGTGCTCGAACGCCACAGCGAGCCTGGCCAGCTCCCGCATCTCCTCCCATAGCATGTGGCACGTCTTGGTTCAAAGCGAACGCAACAGACATTCGTTCATTTGAACGGCACGGCGCTTCCGACATCTCGGGCTCAAGATGAACATCTTCCGGCCCGCGTAAGTGTTTGTACTTCCTAAGCGGGGTCTGGTTCTGGCGCTGTTTGCTTACGAGAGGAAGTGGTTCCAGCATCGCATGCCTACAAGACAGGTGGTCTACAGCACCTTATTGCAAAAGGGGAAGCAAGGTGGTTCACGCAGCCCACGGGTTGGAGGACTCCAGCACCCGCTTGTAACAAGGGAAAATATTTCTAGCAGCTCACGCGTACAAGACAGACGGGCTCCAGCCCACCTGTCTTGTAGGCGTGAGCTGCTTAAACCACGATCCCGCGTAAAACATGTGTCAACATTGTCACTGTCACAGCATTCACCGAAATATAATACTACGACTCTTCCTTGGAGGCGTGCGCCCGACACCATCATATAGTATAACGTATAACCATGTTGTAGTATATCGTTTCCCGAGCGTTGTGGCCAGGCAAGGGCCCACCACGGAGCCGATACTACGAGACTTTTCGGCGCGCGCGTCGCTCCAGGGGGGGGGGGGGGCGACGCACACCTAGGATGCGTACGTTGGGGTGACGCAGGGGCATGGCCGATGATCGAGATGCCGCGGCCGCCGATTGTCGAGAAGCGCGCGTGCCGGGACGCGGGCCTCCCGGACTCTCAGCGACGCGTCCCTCTTCGCCTCCGCCGCCGGGCGGCGGAGGCGACGCCGCGGGGGGGAGGCCCGAACGGGCGGCTGGAGGTGGGCGCGAACACTCCTCCTCCTCCTCCTCCTCCTCCTCCTCCTCTTCCTCCTCCTCCTCCTCCTCCTCCTCCTCCCTCCCTCCCAGCCCAAGCACAAGCGGCGCGCGACCGGGCGGCTCCCCTTTTGGCTCCAACCGGTCATGCAGCCACTCTCGGCGTCTCATCGCAGCGTGCTTGTGGCAACCTGGAGATTTTGCAGCATTCACTGGTGTGGGTCTTGCTTTTATCGATGGGTTGGCTAGGACCGAGAGAAATTCATGCAGGTAGTTTTTCCTCAGCAGGTTCCTCATCGGCGCTGGCCACGTGCGACTTTGTGGTTTACTTCGTCCACGTCGCTTTCGTGCTGCACGGGTACATACTGGGCCCTTTTGTATCTCAATTTTCAAGCTTTCCTGTGCATCGACTTCGTGGTCCGTCCCAGGCTGCAGGGCAATGGGGGGAGCCGCTGGCATTGACCCACCCGCCTGCGGTCTGGGCGTATTTCAGGCGAGCGGGTGCTGCTGTCACGACCGTCGTGGAGGGCATCCGCCCCAGGTTGCAGGGTTGATGGGGGGAGCCGCTGGCATTGACCCACCCGCCTGCTACCTGGGCGTATTTCAAGCGTTGTGCTGGAGTGGTGGCTTTTGGTATGCATTGGGAGCTCGTGGGACACTCCCCAATCCCGCCGTGTCCACTGTCACGTTTTCTGGCCTTAAAGGTGTATTGTCGACCCATTTGTTTGCACAGAGGCTTGGGCGAGATCAAGAGGTCAATTCATGTTCGTACGCGGGTACGGTCTATTGTATTGATATTGTGGGGCTGTCTGTGGAGGACGCGATCCCATTTGGGGGTTGCCCGATGACCAGTGGTGCTTGAACGCATCATTGAATGAAGTGCCGCATCGAGCCGATTTCACCTCAGCTGAACTTGTGTCAATATCTACGGTTTTGGCCGTGTACATCTTGTACCATTCCCTCATCTACCTGGAGATGGTCAGTGGGTGGCTTCATTTTTCAAGGCTTCGTCTTATGGTCATACTCATACTCATACTCATACTCCCTCCCTCCCAGCCTCCCACCCTCCCTCTCTCCCTCCCTCCCTCCCTCCTGCTCCTCCTCCTCCTCCTCCCCCTCCTCCTCCCTCCCTCCCTCCCTCCTCCTCCTGCTCCTCCTCCTCCTTCCCTCCTGCTTCTCCGCCCCCCGGCACGCCAGGAGGAGGAGGAGGAGGGCGCGGAGCCGCAGTCGAGGGGCGGAGCGGAGCGGAGCGGAGCGGAGCGAAGGCTGGAGTCGTGCGCGCTGCGCTGGGGAGCCCGCCCGCGCCCAGGACGGCAGTGCGTGGAGGCCGTGGCGTCGAGATGTGAGTTCTGTAGCTGATGAGCGTGTTTTCCACCACCACCACCATAAGTTGGAGGGGGGGGTCCTCCTCCTCCTCCTCCTCCTCCTCCCTCCTCCCTCCTCCTCCTCCTCCTCCTCCTCCTCCTCCTCCTCCTCCTCCCCCTTCGCCCCATCCAACTTATGGTGGTGGTGGTGGAAAACGCGCTCATCAGTAGCTGCAGTGGCGGCGGCAGGGGCGGAGGTGGAAGGACACCGACAACACCCTCACGCCGATCCTCGCCAAGTTCGGCTATACGCAAGAGTGGCCCTGGGTAATAAGAGCGACCCTTGGTGCGCGGCATCCGGGGGGGCGCGGTGCAGCCAAGACCGAGCGCGCAAGCCGCTGATATCGCAGCGCGCTCGGCGATTGGGGGACCCGGTTGGGCCCGCACCAAAGGTCACTCCGGCGAAAGGTCACTCTTACGTCTAGCCGGCAAGTCTATCCAGGGCGCAGGATCCGCGCATGCGCCCTCCCGGCTTGGCCGGGAGGGCGTGTAAGCAGATGTTGTTTGCCCCGAGCTGGGTCTGACCAGGATCGGCGTGGGGGTACACTCGGCGGCCCCCGAGAATGGGAGGAACGAAAGGCGTCGGCGAGGAGGTCCTTCTCACATGCCAGCTTCCGGGAGCTGCCTTCGGGCACCCACGACCGGATAAAAAAACACTCGCGGCGCAAAACAACGTCCTCAGAATGGAGCTCTTGGGGGTGGGCATGCCTGGAAGCGCACGACGTCGGCAGTCTGGGCCGGGGCAGCCTGGTAATACGGCGTTGGACTTCCTGCCTAGGCAACTCTCCGATGTCCCTGCTGTAACCAGACGCCGTGGATGCCCAATGCGTACCACGCTCGACGATCGTGCGGAGCGGGTGCAGCGCAGGGGGTCGGCGAACAAGCTGCGCATAGCTCGTTGTCCAAGCGCCTGGAGGTGACAACACGCCATCACACTTCGAAACACGTGTCTTGCAGCGGGGCAGACCCAAGCTACGCGTAGCAGCACCCCCCGTGGTGCCGAAGCAAAATTGGATCCAGGCGGCCTCGGAAGCGGACCTCCCGCGGTCGAGGGCTGCTTGTGGGGAGAACGCGCAAACCTGGAGAAGGCGCTTGGAGGGGAACGCAAAAACAAAACAGAACACAGAGCACCTCCCACGCTTCAGGGCTCTCAGGGCGGGGAGACCTCGATCAATGGACACATCGCCTGGAGAAGGATCTGGAGGAGGAAGAGGAGCAGGGAGCAGACTGCCAGCGAGCAGCTGGCGCGGCAACCCCATCCCCAGGATCGGCTCTTCGCCTCGGGCCGCTCCCCGAGGCCCCCCGTGGGCCCCGAGAAGAGCCCCTGGGAACAGTCGCCTCGCAAAAGCAGCCCCCGCCGCCATCCTGCTGGCGGCACCGGAGGCCTGGGCCCTCCCCTCCCTCCCCTCCCGCACGCGCATCCTCCCCGGCTCCTGCCGCGTGGGCGGCGAGCCTTCTGCTCCGCCCTGTCGATGAGCCAGGCCTGGGTCTTCGCCGCCTCCTCCTCGCGCGGAGGCGAGACTGTGGATGTGGAGGCGGGGGAGGGGGAGAATGATGGGGAAGGGATTGTGGCTGGATTGTGGATGTGGAGAGGAGGATGAGGAGGAGGCGGAGGAGGAGGAGGAGGAGGCTGGGAGGAGGAGGCGGAGAAGGCCCCTCGGAGGCCCCACTCTTTTCACCATCCAGAGGGAGCCCAGCGGCGAGAGAACGGGTCACGAGCAGACGCGGAAAAGCCAGAAGAGAAGAGGAGGGGGGGAGGAGGAGGAGGAACGAGGAGGACACAAGCGCGCCGGACGAGCACGCGGGACAACGGCTGCCCAGGGAAGCCCCCACATTGGCCACGCCCAGGGAGAGGGCCGCGACCGAGCGCCCAAGGAAACCGAGCTCCACAAAAACGGGTCGTGCCCGCTCTTCTCCCGCAGGAGCCGAGCTTGCCGCTCAGCACTTTGGAGCCCACGAGCGTGGGATTCGGCGCCGGCGCTGCAATTCTGCCCCTGCCAGGATGTACAGGACCGGTCGATACAGAGCGCCCTGCCAACGGAGGGCTTGCCAGGAGGGCAAAACGCGAAAGCGACCGAGACCGCCTGCTCGCAGCTGTGGCAAAAAAGCGGCCATGAAGGCGTGCGGCTGTCTATGGGCCTCGCGGTGCTCTCTGTCGGCTCTCTCCTGCGCGGGGGGGAGAGCGAGAGCGCACGGCGTCCGTCCTTCGTCTTCGTGGTTCAGCTGCTGTGGCATCAAACTCGCTCGCAGTGTGCTGGATAGACGCCTCATAAGGGACGGGGTGCAGATGGTGCTGGTGCAGCAGTCGTGCCAGCAAAGAGTGGAGCAACAGTGGAGACTGTGAGATCTGTCCCCACGGCCTACAGCGACAACGCACATCTACGTCGCACAGCGGCGATCAGGGTTTTCGGAGTCTGTCATATTGTTCCCTGCTGCGATAACCTATGACATAGCAAGCCCTTCAGCGTTTCTCTGTCATAGCACCCGCTGGGAGGACGCTGGGCATCGCTCGCCTGGCCTGGGTTGGGGAGGGCATGCCCTCTTTAGTGGTATTCGCGAGCGAGATCCACCCTCAGTGATCCTCCCACCTAAACTCTCGCCAGATCGCTGCATCGCAGCACTGCTCACCCGATGGCGAAATAACGGAGCTGAGTACACATTGAATGAATATTTCTCGACTCAGCGTTTTCTGCTGCGGAGAGACATGCTGACATGCTTAGCTGAATGTGGCGTACGTGAGCTTCAGAGACGCTATATCCCAGAACCTCAGATGAGCTCGTCTTAGCCAGCATGGGCCTTGTCATCAAGGGTAATATATATGTATATATATATATACTATCTGTAATTTGCGCCATCGGTCTGAACGAAAGTCAACCCCATTAGTTAGGTCGCGTTAGTGCTGCCTCTCCTCCTCATCCTTCACATCTTTTCGCGCCCCCCTCTCCATTGGGCCCGCCGACCCAGCGTTGTCCAGGTGTGCGGGGGTTGGCGCTGCCGCCGGCAAAGTGTGGATCTTGGATGGGGCCATGGGGGGGCAGTCGACAACTTGCGATGGGGCGGTGGAGGAAGAATGGAGCCAGAGTCTAGGAAGGGTGAGGGGGAGGAGGGCTTGTGGAGAGGGAGAAGGGGAGGGAATGGAAGGGGTGTGCGGAGTATGCCCGCAGTCTTGGATGAAACCATGGCAAAGTGCAGAGTAGCAACAGCCCCTGACAAGCTATGAAACCTTACCGACCCAGCGAGCCTGAGAAGCGGGCAGAAGCAGGTCAACCGAAAGGCTAACACTTGTAGATGACAGGCTTTCTGATTGAAGGCCCGGGGGGGGTAAGGGGAGCGGAAAGGAAACACGCTGGTGCCCCTTGCTGTGGTTGCTGCAGTCATTGGGGCCTTCGAGAGACGTGGCGAGAGGGGGGAATGGGTGAGGTGCTGTAGCATAGTTGAGAAATTTCATTCGGAGAGTAATCATCGTGAACACTGGCGGGAGTTGAAACGAAACGTGCAACTACAGGGGCCCGTATCTCCCCCGCTGGAGGCTCCAGGAGCCATGGCAGAGGCGTAGCGAACTCGGGGCAAGCCCCACAGTCGTGGTCAGTGCTGGCGTCGACGTGTCCGAGGCAGACCGCCTGAGGCAGGAGCAGATCCCTCTCTTTCGTGCTGGACAGGACAACTCGGCAGGAACAGGCCCCATAGGCATCGGGGCAGCCACGGCCCTGATGGCCGACCTAACCCCCTAGGTGTCGTCGCCGCCGGGGTTCGCAGCACATGCATCCCCACCTAGAGGGAGCACAACTGCGAGAAGCAGCTTGCCCTCTCCTGGTCGCTGCTGGTATGGCTCCCCCAGGTGCCGTGACAGCTGGCGCCCTGGAGCACATGCAAGCCGGCTGATGTTCTACGACTGGGGCCCTTGCGGCTGGGGCCCCAGCGGTACGCTCGGGCCCCAGGGCCCTCCGCAAGACCCCGCCGCGAGAAACACGTGCGAGGGCTGGGGAGCCACTGCGAGAACCCCCTGCGAGAAGCACGTGCGAGGACTTCGGGGCCTCACGTCTCGCATGAAGAAGCGCCCCCCTGCATGTTTTCGATGGCTTCGGGCCCTGGGGCCCTCCACGGGCCCCTGGACCGTCGAGCATGAAGGGCTGGTCCTGAGAGAAAGCAAGGGTCTGAGACCCGCTTCTCTCAGCATCCGATTTCTCTATGGCGAACGTAATGCCAACTACCCGAAGTCTGGGGTACGGTCCCGCGCCAGGCCAAGAACACTAGAGCAAGTCAGCTCCTGAGTGCGATGCTTTCGTCGGTGGAAAGATCCCCCTTAGAACATCCTTTCCAGCAACAGATCCTCCCGATTCGACGGCCTCCGTTTGCAATCCCATGTGCTACAACACTTGCTTTCGGACATTTGCGCTTGGACTTGGCAGTAACTGAGGTGATACCTGACTAGACGGGACTGGCCCAGACCCCCAACGTCATGATTCGTTCACAACGTGGACCCCCAGAGGTCTCCTCGACCCCTTCCCGAAGCCCGAAGACCAGCTGTACATCCAGAGAAGTTGCGTGACTGTCCTGGGGCCCGGCCAGGGCCCGGCCAGGGCCCCCAGAAGCCAAATTTCAAAATAAAGGGGCCAAACGGTCATTCATTGTGTCTGGTGAGTGGTTCACGTGGGGCTCCGTTGCCTGGATTCTTGATGGTATTGCGCTCTCTTGCCCAAAGAATAATTATTGTTGATAACCCCTCCCCTGGTGACCTTTCTTTTCCGACTGAAGTGCCCCTCCCAGGGCAAGTCTTGCGCCTCAGATTGGCTAGTTGGCCTCCGAACTACCATAACGACGGCCCCCGCCTGATATTTCCTCAATTTCTGTATGATCGCGCTCTCGCGCGAGACCACCTCGTGCATCATCGAGGAATCGCGCTCTCGCGCGGCACTCCTGTCAATCAATTCAAACTCAGCGCCGCCAACGCTCTAGAACCACTCTCTCGCTTTTGATATCCTTACGATGTACTTGGGCAACGCGCTATCGCCCCAACCTGCCTCGCGATTCATTGAAGGGGCCCTGGGACACACAAATAAAGAGACACAAATAACGAGGATTCCCAATCTTTTCCCATATGTTCTGGGTTGCTGTCTCCCCCCCACACTTCCCATATGTTCCCATATTTCCGGGGGCATCGACGATGGATTGTGTCTGTGTGTTTTTTTCCCTCCTGATTCATGCGCGCCTGACGCCAAACGCGCCCAAATCGACTCGGCCGTCTGGGCCTGCCAGCCACGGCAGACCTGGTTTGGCGATTCCAGTCCATCTTCTGGGCTTCGGGGACCCATCACTAGCCGGCTCCCCTTCACCGGGGCCCCGGCTGCACCCGAGACGCTACAGCGACTCGCCCAATCGACTCGGCCGTCTGGGTCCGCCCAGACCGGCCCCGCGCTGGTTCGGCCGCCTCTGCTCCCGCCCCCGGTCCGCCCTCCTGCGCTGATCTCTCTCCTTCGTGCTCCACCCTTCTCCCTCCCCCCTTGTCCCTTCCCTGCTTGTCTCCTCCCTCCTTGTCCCTTCTCCCTTGTCTCCCTTGTCCCTTCCCTTCCCTTCTCCCTTGTCCCTTACCTTCCCTCCTTGTCCACCTGCTGTCCCCCTGTCTCTCCCCCTTGACCCTTCCCTCCTCCCTTCCCCTGCTGCGCCAACTGCACGTGGAAGGTGAAAGAACGGATTCCCATCCGACTTAAGGACCGCATCCCAGAAATGACTTCGAGCACCCGGAAAAGTATCAAAAGAGTGTCGAAACAGTGTCGAAACAGTGTCGGGCGAGTGTCTCTCATGGCCCGACACGTGACAACCTTCGAGTTTCGGCACTTTTTGGGCGCTCGTAACTCTTTCTGGTGATCAAGGCTGAAGTAGGTTGGGACATCATAACCCCTGTCCCTTCCCTCATCCCTTCCCCTGCTGCGCCAGATACACGTGGCAGGTTCAAGAACGGCTTCCCCCAAGGAGAGATGCGGTGGAAGACGGGGAGGGCGGACATCCAGGGCTCCGGGCAGACATGTTCAGCGATACTCAGACATAGAAGAGCGAACAATCTGAAAATGACTTGTATTGTTGTTGCTGGTGATGATAATGTTGTTGTTGTTGTTGCTGCTGTTGTCGTCGTCCTCGTCCGCGACCCCACCGCAAGCCCCCGCGACACCCCCCCCGCGACCCGCTGCGCTACCCACCCGCGACCTACCCACGACGCACCCCGCGATCGCCCCCCCCGCTGTTACCCGCAACTGAGAGGTACTACATATAAATATGTATGTATGTATATATATATATATATGCACACAGATATAGGTACAGCATGAGGAACGCAGTTCCTCATGCTTTTTGTTTGCTTCACGACGCGAAGGGATCTGGGATGGTGGTACCTGATTGGGCGGGAACTGGTCCGACAGCACATCGAGCGCACGCCCCCGACAGCGCGGAGCGACTACCGCCCTGGACCCACGCAGCGCGACAGCGCGGCGGCGGCTGTGGACCCTCCTCCGCCCAGAGGTCGATTGTGAAAGGGCTCTTCTCCATCTTCTGCGTCCAGCGCTGCTCCCTCTCCTGCCGCGCTGTCATGGGGAGGAGGAGGGGGAACACAAGGTGGGTCACCGCACATCTAGAGGAACGAAAAAACACATAGGCACACATTTTCGGAAGTCCACGCGGATTTCTAAGGGCGGCGCGCGCGCGCCCCCTGGCGAGTTCTGCGCAACGGGGAGGGGAGGGCGGGTCCAGCACCGACCCAAGACATCCGCGCGGACACCCAGAAGTGTACGCTTATGCAGATCCACGTTCCTGGAACATCACCACGGACTCCGCCCGAGAATGAGCAGTTACGCAGCTATGCGCGGTGCACCTCCGCGGCTGATCAGACATGGCACAGGCAATGGAAGGGTGCGCTGTTCACGAACGACCAGCCCCGAGCTTGTCCCGACCCCTCAGACTGGCAAGCCAAGCGCGATGGCCATCTGCGAATGCGTCCTCAGAAACTCCAGGAGCCCTCAAGATCGTCGTCGCGACATGGCGAGGGATGCCAACCATGGTGGCAATCAGCGCAGCGCGCCCAGGAGGCAGGGCCCTGGCACTGCAGCACGGCACTCGGCGGACGAGGGGCGGCGGGCACCGCTGGTGGGGCTGCTGCGGGCGAGGGCGGCGCCGAAGGCGGTGTGCACCGCCCGGTGCCTCCGACCGCGTCTCCCCTGAGCGGCTTGTCTGCCTGAGGGCGACCGCGTATTGTTGCCAACGTGCGGGGAGGGAGCCCAGACCCCCGACATCGGCGGCCCAGCGTGGCGCCCAAAGGTGGCCGGGCCCCATTGTGAGCTGCGTGAGGCTGCCTGGGGGCCTTCTGCCGCAAGTGCGCCATGCTCTTCCTCAAGGCGCGGGTCCCAGGAACCAGATGTTGGCGCTGGTAGACCTGGGCTGGCACGGAAACGGAAAGAGCGCTGCAGGGACTTGACCGAAATTACTCACACCACCGTTCGTACTGGGAGCCTTGGCGTTGAGAGCTTGTTACGTCACCCCGCGCTCCGCCTCC